GTGAATGCTTATTGTCATCCAGAGGCTGGTGTGCAATATTCATCATGCACAAGCCACAGGGCTTCTTATTTCAGGCCCGTTTCAGATGTCCAGAAATAGTGTGAAGTCCAGTTCTTCCTGAACTGTAGCACTTCTGACTACTGGTGGAGGAAGAATTGCATGTCTGGATGTTCTCATGTTAAAACCTAGCTTTCTTCTACTGGGAAAACTAGAACTGTTGGAAAAAACATTCTAGGACAAAATGCTAAAATGCTCTTGATGAACTTTCTATATGCAGCGTGTATCTTTAAGATCAGAAATGCCCAAAGACTTATTCTTCCACTTGCATTCTAAAGTATTGCACATTGGGTTTGCGTGTGTTTAAATTAGCTCTTAGATTACTGCGTTCCCTCCATCCCATCCAATTCATCATGTGGGGAATAGGCATAAATGCAATGGTTTTGTTGGCTGTAAATTCCAAACCTGTTTCAAAAACCATAAAGTAAAAGTATAAAATGTATGTTCCAGTTCAAGTAAAAGTTCACTGATTGCAAAGCCAGATTTGGTGATTCCATTGTCACCGAGGCAACTGGTGTGCAAGATGGCCTGTCTTAATTTCTCTGCTTTTATGTCAATGTTTGCATCATCAAATCAACTGAAAACAGCTCCTCAACAAAAAACAAAACAAAGCACATTTTTAAGCTTTAAAGCTTGAAATTCTCCTGCACGTGATCCAGGTAAACAACCTTATTTGAGCAAAAAGAAAACATAGAGTTTCCTAAAATGCATGCTTATTGACAAGATGTTTTGTTTGCCGCTGTATTTTTAAAGTCTTGTAACAGCTCCATGTGAACCACAGAGTTTTAAATTTCCTATTTTCAAAGAGATACATTTTAAAAGGAACAGCTAGATAATGCTGAGCAATCAAGCTGAAGATAAAGTATTGCTAAAACCTGACATTGACATAAAGGGCAATGCCACCAGAAGTTAATTCGTTATTAACTAGAGATAACTTTTATCTTGCTCCTGGACTTGCACAACATATGCTGTTATCAAGCTTGCACTATTCTGTGGAGTAACTCAGAAAACGGATGTACAACATGTGCCGGCCACGGGCGGAGAGTCCAGGGCCTGGCTGATGTCCCCACCTTCACCGCTGCCCCTTCTTGGTTCAGGTCTAAGGTTGCCCACATTGGAGAAGTCTGGGCCAAACCGTGCTGTTGTTTATGATTTATTGTTACTCCTATCTGTATCCCACCTTTTTTCCTTTCAAGAAACTCAAAGCAGCTCACACCATTTTCTTCTTTTCTTCAGTCTTATCCACACTACCACCACCTCGTGAAGGTCCAAAGCCACCCAGTTAGCTCCGCAGTTGAGTGGGAACCAGAACTCGCATCTATCTCCTGAGTCTCAGTCTTGCACTCTGTATCCTGATAGAAGGCCACATTGATTTTACTTTGTTCTTTGTTGCACACTATCCCCTTATTCACATCGGTGTGTCACGAAATGAGTAGAGCTGGACTTGCTGATTATCGGCTGAGTGTGGATAGAGACATACGTTGCCTGTCAGTGCTTCTGTGCAAGCGCACTCACCCTGCTCTCTCTATAGGCATACCATTCCCTGTCCAGGATCTGGCTCAGGAGAAACTGGTTCTGCTACTTTGCAGCAGGAACCGGTATGCTCAGAACAGATTGGCTGGCATTTACAGCATCATAAACCCACCCACCTGTGACTTCTTTTTTATTTTTTTGCAGCTCTTTCAAAGTGCATTTTCCTTTTTATAAAGCATGTATACGTACACACATGTATGTGAATGTGTGTGTCTAGATGTGCATGTTTAGATACAGATCACATGTGCATGTGTGGTTGTGTGTAACTATGTATGCATCGACACAGAGAGATGTGTGTGATAAGTGTTACGGAATGTGTTGTGATGTGGGGGGGGAGCGTGAAGTCAAGCACGCTGACACCATGGGAGAAAAAATGACAGCACATTGGTAAGTACCCTATACAGCTGGGCCAAAAAATCAAAATCTAGCTGAGGAGGAGAACTTTAAGCCCCATTAATTCAAGGGGGAGAATGTTAAGTACACGCTCTTCCAAATGAAATAAAGGGGTCTTAAACATGCTTAGGACTCTAATACTATACATACTACCTGGTAATAAATCCCATAAAATACAGTGGGATTTATTTCTGAATAAACCAGCTAAGATTATGCTTTTTCTGGAATGTGCCTGTGAGTGTATCTGGTGTATTCTATCTCATGCTTTCTGCATCACTTATGATGGTGTCCACTTTGCCATCTCACCCCCGCCCCTGCCCCCCACTCCACCACCACCACCACCAGTATCTGGACCTTCGTTTTACTTCACTTTTTCTCTTATTTCACTGTCTCTGCTTCTTAGGATTCCAGCAGCCCCTCCTCTCAAGTAGGAATGCTTTTTGGTCAGCTGCTTCTTTGAATTGATCTTTTAAAAAACAGAATTAATAAATAATATAAAGGTCTCTGCAAGGAAGTGGCAGCTCCACCAGAAAACAATGTGTACTCTCTAAATTTGAACCAAGACGTTTCCGCTCTTTGATTTAACTTTAGTTGCTTCCTGTGGTTTCATGTCCTATACTACAGTTGAATCTCTGGATGGCCTCCAGTATAAATTGCACTCTTCCAATGAAATTAAAGACTAGCAATAGATGGGTCAGCTAGTAAACAGCATTTAAGCCAAATATTATGCTGCTTGGTGTTTGGATGAAAAATAGTATGAATATTTTAAAGGATCTTATATGCCTTCTGGGTGGATTTTCAACTGGGTCATTAAATTCTGTTTTCAGAGGGCAGGCAAAGGATGCGTGATATTCATCTTTCCTTCTTTTACTTTCTGGTCTTGTACATTGAGGTCGAGGGCAACAATTCAAAAGCTGGGCCTAAGAAATATGCTTTTATGGAATTTTTCTTCTGCTTATTTTCTCCTGCGGGGACTAAACCAGTGGAAAACTTTGATGACATTTCTTAAACCATGGTTTGCCATGAGGTTGGGGAATCCATCAGCATTCTGGATCTTGCTAGATTGCTGTTCCAATTGCAATTATGGAAACTGGAATCCAACATATCTGGAAGGGGAACGGGTTCCCTACCCTGGTTTAACATTACAAAGACAAGACAGAGCATGCCTAGGGCTGGCTTCTGGCTTCCTCTTCCCCTCTCCCCTGATGCAACTGCAAGGAGGAGATCAGAAATTTCCATTTCAGATTAACCCGTTTTGTGCTATGTCTGAGCCCTAAGCTATGGTCAGTCAACTGTGGTTTGCCAAAGCTGGCTAGCTTCATAAGGAACAGTTTCAACAAAACATAATTAACCATGGTCTAGGATCTGGGGAGCAGTTAATCTGGAGTCCTCATGGCAGCACCCTGCAGAGGGGAAGGGAGTGCAACATTCCGAGAATTACTTGGGGATGGAGGTGGGCAGGGTGAACTTCCATTCTCCTTTCAAAAACTGTATTGGGATAAGGTCCGGTTTTAGGGATATCTATATTTTGCATAAAATTATTCCCAATCCCACCAATTTTAGATATGTATTTTGTGCATTGTTGTTTTTAAAAGACATGGGAGGGCTCATCCTTCCTTACTTAACAGATATCTGCGGTAAGCAAAAGGATGGGAAGGAGTCATAGGACAATGAGGGAGAGTTATAAATGGGATGCCAGAATGTCTGGTCCACCCTATAAAATTCCATGAATGCGGTAAGGGAAAGAAAAGGATTGCTGGTGTTGTGCAGTGCTTTGCTTTGGATAGGAGTCTCAGCTCAAGTACTGCCCAACACCAGGAGAGTTTTGGGAGTCCCTGCTTTGCCCAGAGGTGAATCAGCCCCCAAGGCTGGGAAGGGGGCTGGGGGGGAAGGAAAATAATGCTGCATCTCTGGATCCAGGGTCTGTGGATGCAATTGCAGCAATGGGCCAGTTTCAGCCCTCATGAGAAGATCGGCAAGGGGGCACAAAAGCCTGCAAACTCCCTTTCCTCTCTTCCCCGAGAGCCGTGCTTTCCTGAAACACGTGTAACAGAACAGAGCCCATGGTGCCATCTTGGCTGCTGTGAAGGTTCCAAAGTTTGGCTCTTAGGGATCAGCAGAGTGCAAATTCGAACAGGATGTGCATATACAAAACCAAAACAAGCATTTGAATGTGAGCCAATGAGCTCAAAGGCTTGGACTTGGCATCTACAGGTTTGATTGTCATTAAAGGAGGAAAGCTGTAATCAGGAATTAATGCACTGCATATGGGCTCAGAGGAAATCCGTACTGCTCAGCAGGAGCATGTGCATGCAGCCCAGAGGCAGGAACTTGTCGCCCTCTGGATGTTTTGCCCTTCAACCCTCATTGCCCTTAGTCAGAAATTAGGAATAGCAACCAGAGATCCATATGCTGTCTACCCCTAAGGTTCTCAGCTTGGATAGCCACTGGGCTTAGTACTGGGTTGCCCACCTTGTTCTGTGCTTTCCTTTCCATTTTCATCTGAATGATCTTTCTTCCTGGGCCGAAGCATAAACAACCTTCTTCTGTCTTTCCTTCTACTTCCAGCCATATCCCAGCTGAGAGTCAACACTCTTCGCTAATGAGTGACCCTCCAGATGTTTTGAACCACAGATCGCCTCCTCCCTGATCACTGCTCATGATGTTGGAGTTGCAGTCCAAAATGTCTGACGGGCACCCAGTTGTGGGAGGCTGAGATCAGATAGCATTTTGTCTGCCAGTCGGCCCTTATCAGGGAGAGAGACTTGCAGCTCATCAGCGTGGCTGCAGCCTGCACGCTGGGCACGCAGGCGCAAACCCTCATGCAGCCAGTCCCACAGGCAGCCATGGCCTCAGCCCCACAGGGGTGACACCACAAAGGGTTACCTGGCGGCTGGCCCTGGGTCTGCCCCTGGCACCGAAACAGCTGAAGCGAGGAGGCTTGTTGGAGCAGCGACAGCAACTGCTAATGTGTGAACTCTTTGGCTCTCTCCCCCTTCCCTCGCTCTCCCTCTCAGGACACTTAAAGGCTGCGTCTCCCAGTGCTGAAGGACAGCCTGAGCCATGGAGCCTCGGATGCCTCACAACATCACCGTGGTTCCCAGCCCCACCATGGTGCCGCCCGTCCAGGACAGCCGCATCCCCTACGGCAGGCTGCAGCGCCCCCTGATGATCCTGCCCATCGACCAAATGAAGACCAGCCACATGGAGAACGACTACATCGACAATCCCACCCTGGCCCAGCTGACCGCTGCCAAGCACCCCCGGGGCCCCCGTGAGCCCCCTCTGCACCCCCAGCGATGCGAGCAGGACATCACCCACCCCTGGATCTCCTTCAGCGGGCGGCCCAGCTCCATCAGCAGCAGCAGCAGCACGTCTTCCGATCAGAGGCTTTTGGACCACATGGCACCGGCCCCAGTGGCGGACCAGGCCTCCCCCCGGGCGGTCCGCATACAGCCCAAGGCCGTCAGCTGCAAGCCCCTGGACCTCAAGGGGCCGGCCTCCCCGGAGCTGGACAAGCACTTCCTGCTGTGCGAAGCCTGCGGAAAGTGCAAGTGCAAGGAGTGCGCCCTCCCCAGGACCCTGCCGTCCTGCTGGCTCTGCCACCAGGAGTGCCTGTGCTCGGCGCAGAGCCTGGTCAACTACTCCACCTGCATGTGCCTGGTGAAGGGCATCTTCTACCACTGCACCAACGAGGACGACGAGGGCTCCTGCGCCGACCACCCCTGCTCCTGCTCCCACTCGAACTGCTGTGCCCGCTGGTCTTTCATGAGCGCCCTCTCCCTGGTCCTGCCATGCTTGCTCTGCTACCTGCCGGCCACGGGCTGCGTCAAGCTGTCGCAGTGCTGCTACGACCAAGTGAGTCGGCCCGGATGTCGGTGCAAAAACACGAACAGCGTGATTTGTAAAGCCTCCCCAGAAGGGAAAGTTGGCGCCCGACCAGAGAAGCCGTTCTGATCTCTGGGGAGGAAGGGAGGGAGGGAGGGAGGGCGAGAGCAGGGAGGAGGCGCAGGGGGCAGGGAGGAGGCATTTCCAACCTGTGCTGTAGGTCTAACATGTGTCAGCCTTTTGCTTTCAACAAAGACAAATATCTCTTTCGAGGAACCGAAGCACTTTGCAGAATTCAGGGTTTTCAAAGTGGTGATCCACACTTATAGAGTGGAGTTCGGAAGGAAGGTTCTCAATATTTTGCAGAGCAAAGGCAGAAAACTACCACAGAGGGTAATTGGAAGACTTCTGTTCTGCTCCTGACCATTGGCTGTTTGCTAAGTTGACATGACTGCAAGAATAATTAACAGGTTTGGCGGGTACATCCGTAACCTGAGCAAGAATTCTTATCCCTCAAAGGCTATTCTGTTCAGGGCCCCCAACCCCTTAATGTTTCATTATGATGGTAGATTGCTGGCAGTAAAACGTTCTGTTTCTCAATGCTTTAATAGGAACCGTTGCCTACCACCCCTTCTCTCTCTCCCCGCCTTTCACCATTTAAGAGAGAGAGACACACACACACATACTGCTTTTCTATACATTGTGCAATTTCGTTTCAGATGACCTGCCTTGTTAGGTAGAAATCACGACTGGGGCAGATCAAGCCTCAGTTAAAGACACAACTGCAGGCACTGGAAAGTCGTCATTTCTGCCTGTTTCCAGTGATACTGAGGCCTTGAAGCAGCAACTATTTCATTGGACGTAACCCATTAACTTCAATTGGGCTAACTTGAATGCAAGGTTTTGACCCTTAAATTGCTGTGCCAAGCTTTGAGGCAGAAGCCCTGTTTGCTTCATTCCCACCAACAGGAGTGCCTGAGACAGCCAGGCCTTTCTGCACCGTATTTAAGAGAAAGGGGCTCTGAACCCCTCTTTGAACATCAATAAATTCTATTGCTTGGTCAAATAGCACATTCAGGATTTAGGACACGGCACAAGCAAGACCAGAAAAAAAAACCAAGGCATAATTTTCAAGGGCACCAGTGTCACAAACTCTTTCATGTTAAACTTAAGCAGCCTTCTCCCCACTGAAAAAAATGGTGCTTAATCAAATTAAGCTACAAAGTATTTAAGCCTAAGCTAATAAATCATCCATATTTCACCCACCTCCCACCTTGCTCTTGCAAGGTCACTACAAACTGAGCACAATGTATTTGTACATATTTTGGGTTTGTTTGTTTTTAAATATATATCCATGGAACCCCAGGCTCCCGTGAAAAACAGCCCTTTTTTTGGCAGAATGGCATTTGCTCTGGATTTTATTTCTCACTTTTTTGTTGCTGCTCAGTGTTGGTCTCTTCTGTATAATAGCATGTCTTTGTAAATACAGAGGACATTTTAATATGTCTATTTTAGGGCTTAGTACTTTGTGGGGGTGGGTGGGAGCGGCACTAGAGGTGTCTAGTTGTTACAAACTGCCCAAGCCACCCACAGCTTCTGGTTGCCAACTCTTTCAGGCCTCATCTGTCTATTCACACCTATTAGGTCAGGGCCTGTTAAATTTCTGTCAGGAAGGGAAGGCCGTTCCCCTGCTTATGGCCAATATGGCTTTCCCTTAAAGAAAAGGGATTAACCCTTTTCCGTTGAAAACCACAAGGTGCTAAGCAGAAAACAATTGTCCACTAATATATCCAATCAAAGGCAGTGGGTAAATGTTGCATGTAAGAAGCTGATCTTCTCCGCTGTTTTGTGACTGGGGATGGCGGGTGGGTTGAACTTGGATTTACTACACTGTAATGATTGCCTGAAATTATCCTGTTTAACTCAGCAAGCAGGAGGCAAAAGCCGCAATTGCATTCTCAAGCAAACGTGATTTCTGATTTGAAATGAAACACACATCTATACTGACAGAAGGGAACCATCTTTCGGGGGGAAGCAATGGGGACAGAATCTGCTCACTTTTACTTATCATGGGTGACTTTTATTTTTTAAAAAATCTGTATATATTTATTGATTGGGAAATATTTTTAATCTTTTTATATTTATAATACTTGCCAGTTATGTACATAGTATTTCACAGAAAAAGGGATACTACATCTGTGTTGTCAGAGACTGATTTGCATAGCGTAGCCTTGCCAAGAGCTTATTAGGCACACGCAGCTGGTGGGAACTTCTGCCCACTGAAATGAACGGGGACACATAGTGGGCTCTCCCGCTCATCTCGGTGAAAAGGGGTTCACAAGTTCCTGCTGGATTAGGCACCGTGTATTGTATATATATTCTTGCACAAAATGGAGGGAACCATGCAATGGGGGAGTGGGAAGGAAGAAGGAGAATCTTAGCCAAAATACTATTGAATGTATAACTCATTACCTGTTTGCAAGGAATAATAAACCAGGTCTTCGGAATATAAATAAGCTGGACATCCAGCAACACATGCGATGCTATCTGTTGCCTAATCCAGGAGTGGGCAACTTATAGCTCTCTGGGTGATTTGGACGACAAATCCCATGCTCTCTCACCATTGGCTATGCTGACGAAGGCTGATGGGAATTTTAAACCAAAACACTGGGAGGGTTACAAGTTGCCCAGCTTTGACCTAAGCCTACTTGCTCTTTTCTATCTGATATTCCTATTAGGGTGGGACAAGGATAGTACTGCTCTGCTCAAGCAACAACAAATTCCAGTTGGCTGGGCTGTACTCAGGTTGCAAGCAAACCAGTGGCTTGACTGCCAGGTTACACATGTACCTACCTACTCAGAATACTTCTATATTTCTGTTTTTGCTTTCTTTTAATGAAACTGCACCTTTTATTTTTACTGTACTTAGTTCTAAACCACTTACATTTGCTTATTGGTTTTTAAAAGCATCAAAATCTGCCAGGGTCCATCTGATCTAAGTGGATCGTGCCTTCGAACAGAAAGGCCAGAAAAAGACCGACTTTGCAAATGTAGCAGACTGCAGCTCCTTGTATCTTCCAGGCCCCCCTCTGGTCCAGCAGTCTGTTAACATGTTTCTCCAGCTCTTTCTTTCAGGCCTAGCAACAAAGTTGACAAGTCTCTTGCTGAGCATTGAAAGGTTTCCAGGTTAGACCAGCCCGAGAAGAGCTGGGACAACATTATACTGTTCCCTTAGATAATCTCCACGGCTGTGCTAGCAAGAGGGTCCTTCTCCCTGCCCACAACCCACCAGCCAACACGCTGTTTCTTTAACCTTTTCCTTCCCCAGCCCATCTCTAAAGACAGTCTGTATTCCTTTTAACATTGCCACTGAGCCAAAGACACTTAAGCTATAGGGATAGAACAATCCGCCCCCGACATTTGAAATTACACAAAGCTCCCTGGGCTGCCAAAGGTCAGGAGAACTTACCTGAGCCTACCCTCCCCTTCCATATTATCCCAGTACGTGACATCCTGACTGAATGGAACATTGTTAATTCAAAATGCAGTCTCGTCTGCTGGCAGTGACATCCGCTTCAGAGAAATCCTTGTCATCCAGCCCACTGTGACCTCCTACAAGTCATTGAGCTTGTTCTGAGGGCTGCTCATCTAATTAAAGAATATTCCAAGTACTAAGCAAGGATGTACAAGCAAGGATGTGGTTCAAGATGTACTGCAACATTACTGAGCTGGGCAGGAATGGGGAGTGGGTATTGTGAAGGGTGGCACAAGCCTTCCTTTCTTCCCTTTCTGAAGCTCAGCCATTGTTTTAGCAAACTAAAATATCTATTCTCCCTCTTAAATGCCCGTCTTGCAGCACTGTGCATGTTTGGGTTTATTTTATTCAACTTTACAGAGAGTGGGTAAGATTTCCCTCATCATTACTTCTTCCCTCAACTGAAAACATAAATGACCACAGAAGTTTTCCTTTGTATAGAATATTTATTTTGAAGATCTATTTTAATAGTATTTATTTTAGAAGTCTACTATTGTTAAGAGTTCTTCTGTTTGTGAAGAAAAACAAGTTAAACTGAATGTACTGATCTAGAAATTATATATAAAATATATATTGTTAAATATACAAATATCTTGTGGCTTCTTTCTTGAAATACACTTTTTCAGTAGCAACAGTAAATGGCACATATTGGGACATGTGCAGTAACAGAAGATTTCAGGTTGTGTTATAGGAAATCCTTCTCTTTTCAAAATAGGAGGTAGCAGCTGTATGGAAGGGCACACACAGTTCTGAATGACTATCAGTTAGTCTGGGCTGGTCTGACTTCCCCAAAGTGAATGCTGCAGCCGCTAAGGTTGGATTGCAATGGCTACACAACTAGTTATCTTAGCATGGTGAAGAACTGGCACAGCAAGGCAAGGTGGAGGACCTAAGTGAAACCTTTTTAGTAGGTGCACTGGGTAAATTGCCAATTATGTTTCTAGGTTTGGGAGGGGCAAAACACAATGTAAGTTTGACTGATAATTGAACATGAGAAGCAAGATGTCAAGAAAAGCCAATTTGATTAGGGTAGATCAGGGACGGGTGACTTGTGACCTTCCTGATGTTTGGCCTACAACTGTCATGAGCCTGTACAATTGGCTATGCTAGCTAGTGCTGATGAGAGTTGTAGGGCAGAAAAATGATTTTTTAAAAGGTTGCTTACCTCTGGGGTAGATGGTATGTTCTTTTATTTCAGTTTTCTATTCTCCACCAAACAACTCTCACTCTGTGAGTGCCTGAGAAATAAATGACAGTATTTAACAAAGATTAGGTAGACAAGTAGATTATTAAACATGTGCACACGTGCGCACACACGTACACAATTACTGGTAGGTTTGACTTTCATGCATTTGTTAAAGGCTCTTTTCTGGAGGGAGAAATTCAGCATTTTTATTTTAACCTTTTTCATCTTGCTCTGTACAGCATTCAGTTTTATCTTACAACCTTAGTATCCCATGTGAGGGCAGGATCTCAACAACTGTGTAAGCTCATGCAAAGGGGCTGACCTTGCACCAGCTCAGTTCCTCTGAAAACCCGAGTCCCCCATGCAATATCACCAAACCAATTTTACACCACTGGGAAGTTCAAAAGACAGCTTGCCACAAAGCAAGAAGGACAGTATGGCTACTACCTGGAGGAAAAACAGTTCCAAGATCTTAGCATCACAGAATGAAGTTCAGAGTTATTTTCCCCTTGTTCTCTCAATGAATTAGTAAAAATCATTGTACCATAGCTGTGTTTGGAGCACTGTGGTCAGCACCTTCTATAAATCAGCCACTGCCAAATTACGGGCAACCACTGTTATGATGCAGGATCATTTCTGTAAGTGGGGTTGGACCAACAGCCTACCAGGATCAGTTGCATATACTCTTCTAAATGTCATTCTGAATAATGTTTCCAAAATCTTTCTGCTCTGCCCGCCAATAAAAGTCAGAATGAAATAGCGAACATTTTAATCTCATGGTAGGGAGCACTGAAACCCCTTGGCAATAGCTGCTTGTAGTTATTAAACTGGATGCACAGCCATGTTCTCTGTGCTAGCAGTGTTAGGGCACCAATAGCCACACTCCACAAAAGGCCCACGTTTCCACATTGGCAATAACCTAATTCCCACTAGGGAAAATACCACTAGGCACATTTCTCCTATGAACTTCTCCCGCCACCACCACTGGGCAGATTTAAAAAGGGAAAAGGCTGCTGAGTCTTGTCACTGAGTGGTGAAACCTTCTGTGCTGTGAGCATCCGGCGCTTGTAGGGCCAGGTAAGGCAGCAGATGTGGCCGGACCCCATTGCAATGATGGACACCTGCTGGAACAGGCCTCCATCTTACTTCCACACTGAAGATGGGGCAGTGTCCTCCAGCACACCTGAGGACAGCGACCAAGCTGAGGGGGCACAGGGCCAGCCAGGGGACTCCCACAGCCTGTTCTGCACTGCCCTGTGACTCTCCTGCTTGAGGTGGATGCTGGCACTGGCGCCAGGATGCTGAGGGCCTTGGCCTAGGCACCCTCCTTGGATCCTTCCTCTAGGAGCCTGCCTTCTCACCACTGTTGTCAGCAGCTGCTCTTGCTCCCCTTCCTCTCTCTCAAATTGCCTCCCCTTGCTTGCTTGAGAGGAAGAGAGCAAGCGCACAAGCAGGCAAGGGCATCTTCTCTTTGGCCTCGCCCCTTCCATTTTCTGGCCAAAGTGGTCCAAGAGGCACTTGCAATGATCTCCGGCCAGTGTATGGGCCTTTGGTGGGTGGCTGAGCACGCTTGTCCTTGATGCTGGCCCTGGCAGCTGGCTCGCTGCTTGATGACGCCCTATGCTGGAACGGTGGAACTGTGCATTTGGTGCTGTGAGTCATCCATCAAATGCCTACCCACATCTTTCGTGGGAAGAGCAGGCTTATAGAGGGGTGCAACATCCTCCCAATCAACCAGTTGGCAGGACAGTGCCTTCTCTTCAAGTGTTAAAGAATGCTAGGCATGCTCCTACTGGATACACACACACACACACACACACACACACACACACACACACACACACACTCTCTCTCTCTTCTCATATATTAATTGATATGGAGATACCCTTCTCCTCACCCACACAGTTTTTCTCTTGCAATGTCACAGTAAAAAGTAAAATCAGTCTAAAAATAACTGTTTAAACAAACAAACCAAAAAAAATAAAAAATGTCCTGCAGCTCCTAGCATGCCCAGCCAGCCTTGCTGCCTGGGGGATGCTGTAAGATGTTTTTCTGTCCAAGCACGCATAGGGTTGTTCCCGAAATGTGCCAAAGCTGCTTCTGTCTCTTTGGAGAACACGGCAGGGGCATGGAAGATTTCCACAGGGGGCGATGAGGCTCCTCAGCAAGTACCCGTGAGCCATTTGTACCCCTCTGAAGCCTGTGAACAAAAGGAACAGAACAAGTTCCAGCACCTAGAAAGTGGAAATGACTAAGCAACACAACATATCACCAAATTGTGTGTGTGGGAGGGGGAGCAAAGACAAAAGAAGTATTGGTAATTTTTGTGGAGTTCCACTTGTACAGAACCTAACTTTCAATATATTGAAAAACAAAAAGCAAAACAGAGGATGCCAGAAGCAAGAGAACAGCAGAGAAACAATAGTATGAACAAATAATAAGAATCAATAAAGATGCCAGTGGAGAAAGGACCCTGTTTGAAAATACTCTTATGAGGTACTTTCTTCCTTTAAAAAAAATCTAAACACTAAGAATGAGAAGTATTATTTATGCATATCCCTGAAATGAATGGTTTTTTATGTATTCTAGGTTAGGGACAGTCAAATGCTTAAAAAAAAAAGAATCACAGCAGTGTGTGTGTGAGAGAGAGACAGAGAAAGAGAGAGAGAGTTTGAGTACATAAAGAGAGAAAATGCATGTCACCTTACACAGATAGAGAATACCATGGTTTAATTTGTTACACGTGCATCTTGCCTTTGCTTTGAATGCTCAGAGCCACACTTGACTCCAGAATTGGAGACCCTTGCTCTACCACAGTGGCTGTTTTAATGACAAAACTTTAAATGATTTTAAGGTTAGACAAAGTTAAAAACAAATTTTGTCCATGCAGCGAACACAGGAGCACTGACATAATGATTATTCACAGCCATGTTAGTCTATTGCAGTAAAAACAGCAAGGAGCTTCGCAGCACTGTGATTTCTGCACTGAATTTCCTTCTGACATCACTGTTTATACTTCTCCCCTACTCCATATGTGCTGTATAAAAAACCTGAAACTATCCAAAATAATACATGCATCTGAAGAAGCTGACTACAGTCCACAAAATCATATGCCAGAAAAAAATGCATTGTTCAAGTTGTGTGGGACTGTGAGTGCGAGGGGTCACAGGTCCAATGCCCAACACCTCCAGCAATGGTTGGCAGTGGGGGGGGGGGGGTGGAACCTGCCCTTAGAGCCAGAGGACCTGCTGCCACTTGGTGGACCAATCCTGTGACCCAGTTTTTGGTGGCGAGAGCCATTTCCCAAGTCTTTTTCTTGTTCTGGCACAAAGAAGAGAGCAGCCTCCCCCCACCCCACCCCGCTTTCAAAAATGGAAGTGAGGACAGGGCAGATTTTCTTCTTCAGAGTCCCCACTCTCATCCCCAGCTCCCCCTCCCTTCTCCATTTCCTTCTTGAAAGTGCAGGCCTGCTTTTCGCACCCAAACCTATAAACATTCACTTGAAATGTGCAGCCATGACCAACTGGATTAATGTAAACCAGCAGCTTCGTGACAGGGGCCAGAGGAAACGCCTTGGGCCATCTTGCCCCCTTGCTCCCATTTTCTCCTCCCACTCCTCACAGCAGTTGAAAAGCTTATTCTTCCCCAACTTTAATAAAACAATATCTATGTGGCCTGAGGCAGGTGCAATTTTCATAATTTATGGTTCTCGGAGACAGGAAGAGCGCTTTGAGTTTTATGGTGCTTTGCTCACTAAATAGCATTCCGATTGTCTACATATCATTCTTTCAGGATCTGCTATCTGGCAGGCACACAGCCCCTTCGGAACCCACCTGTGCCTGCTGCCCTCAGGCAAAAGATAATTATGAATACATCTGTACGTGTTAAGCAGAAGATGAGCAAAAAATTCTCCTCATTTCCCCATGTCCTTAGAAGAAACTTCCTGTATTGACACCAGTATTAGCACTCAACAACCGCAGGCAGGAAATTCACCTCCTTTGGATTCTTCCATTTCAGTAAATGAATAAATCCACCTTCCCTTACACACTGCTCGCAAATACATGCAAATCCTTGTTTGCCATTCAGGGCCCGGCCACCCCTCGGAACTATGGGCCTTCAGCTTCCATTCATCTAGGCGGGCTGTGACATCCTTTGCCTACTTCTGGAGGCAGGCTGGAGACCTTGACAGGGGCCATTGGGTCTTGAGATGATGCCATGATCCAGCGCACTCCGGGTTGTGATTGTGAACTGCTCAGAAAATCCAGTAGGACTATTGAAGTGGTCTGTAAATTCAACCAGTCAATCAATCAATCAAATGTACAGTGGCCACTTATGAGTTGGCAGAAAAGAAAAAATCCATCACCAGAAAAGAGGGCAAAAGAAGAGATCTACTTGCATACATC